AGAGAAACTTGGATCGTTACTAAAGAGTCCGACGTGGCGTGAACAAGTGCGACAGCTCGGTTTTCCTGTATCGAAGGAAAGGGTAGAGGGACGAAAAGAGCGAGGCGAGAAGAGAGAAAATTTCTCCCTTCTCTCTTTTTTGTTCTTTTTTCTTTCTTTCTTTCTTTCTTTTTTTTTTTTTTTTAAACGGGCGTGTCCGTCTTCTCGTCCTTCTTGACGTCTTTAACGTCCGTACGGCCGTTCACGTATTCGGTGCTCGCGTGTATCGGATTCTCTTGGCCCCCCTGCGGCAGTTTCTCATCGATGATACGCGGGTCCTCGTGATCCTCGTCGTCCTCGTCGCCAGGCGTGATGTGCGCCTCGCTTCCGGCGCCGACGTCACCCGCAGTCTCCTCGTCGCCGCGACGTCTCGCTGCAACAAGCAACGCCACTATCGGTCAAGGCAAATGTGCGTGTGTGGATTCTATCTCTTTCTCTTTTTTTTTTTTTTTTTTTTTTTTTTTTTTTTTTGCTCGCCTTTGCGGGAACGCCCTTCGCCGCGTTAATTTGTTTACCGTAATGTTAGATAAAAGCGGAACGCCGTGTTCGATTCGCCGCGTCGGCACTTTACGTTATTACCCCTTCGCTTTCGCACGCGTGTGTGAAAATGCCGGCCGGTGCAACTTTTACGATCGATCCGCGAAATAATACTGAATGCAGAAGCGCGAATATCCCGGTGCTTTTAAACGCAGCCGGCAACCGCGAAAAATCGGCAACGGCAGTCAAACACGGCTGGCGGCTCGCGATTATCAAATCGTTTGTTCTCTTTGTGAACGCGAATTTACTCACGATTACGAAATGCCGATTACAAATGCCATGTATCTCGTTAACAAATTGATATTGTTGTAGATATGCGATATTTTCTTGTAAATTTCATAAATGAAGATTTTGTGTTTCTGCATAAGATATGTCTTTCTATAAAATATGTCGATTGGGATAAAGCTATTCGCAAAATAGTAGAACAAAAAAATTGACACGTTAATATTTGGTTTGCGCATCAGAATTATTAATTATTAATTTTAAGTTACTTGTTCGATGTTTGTTACTCTAATTAGTAAGAGATTCGAGAAAACTCATTTCTTTAAGATTATTATTTATAATTCGTACTCTCTCTCATAGACTGTATTTATACATAATTCTAACATCCATTACGCGATTAATGTAACATACAATGTGATTGCATGTTATTGCGAGTGTTTCACGTTATTACTAACAAGTACTTTTAATATTTATCGAAAATAGTGTAAAACATCATGTGTATGTGTGTGAGTGTGTCCGAAGTAAAAGATATTATTATGTATATCTAATTATCTACGTTACTAACAATAAGAGAGACGAGGCATTCAATTTACATCGCTCGTGCGTTATATAAAAAAATGTATGAATTAACGTCTGTATCAAAGAAATAATCGTTGTAACATTCACAGGCATAGTCAACGTCATACCATGATCCAAGCAAGATAAATCCGAATAATTATAGCGAGAGTACGATGTTGCTTTTCTCAACGCTAAAATTAGCAGCTAGCAAAGAATGCACACTCAATCTGCGCTGATAAATCAACAGCGAGGGGATTCTTAGGTGACAAACATGCTTGATCACAATCCGAGGAGGACGGGCGGAGGAGACGGAAAAAATCGCAATTCCAATCGTAACCAAAAGATACTGAAACGCGGCGATGAGCAATATGAGAAAGCACGCGAAAGTAATCGGTATCGATTATGTACCGATCGTTTCTGCCCAAGGTAATTTCACCACACTTGCCTTTGCCGATTGCTTATCATCGTTGCTTGTTGCGAGAAAGAAAAGAAAAGAAACGCTATACCTATCCATTCTCAGAGACTTATAGCGTGTTCACACGACTCGATTTTTAAATATATCGACCCGTGTGAAAATCACGAGTCTATGCAGCTTTATATCATGATTCTTATCAGATTTCGCAGCGCTACTATCTACAAACATGATATTATAGCGCGGCAATAATCGATATTGATACGTGTTGATTATTATTGCTCATTCCCATGGTATAATGTTTTGCATTACAAGCAAAGAACGATTTTACGCCGATTCGATATTATAAGCGCGACATGCTAATGAAATCACGTAGTGTAAATGGAGAATCGTACAAGATGATTGCGAGCACGTGGCAATATATAAATATGCTTAAATTATCGTTGATAGCTACGGAGCAGATACTATTGACATGCAATGAAGTTCGATGACGTAATTATATATATGAAGAAATTATAATCATATTGATGTCGACGTCGATGATAACAAAACTTGAACGTTGTATAAATGTCAAAATGCTATTTAATCATAAAAATACGTACTTTTTTATACACTTAAATTTCTTTGGAAACAAAATTACGGAGATTATGACTGTTATTTCTAACTATCCTATCCTTTGTGTTTATGATATTTCATTCATACGTATTATACGCGAAACAGAATAATTACCGATTCATGAAGATACATAAAAAATTGCTGAATTTATTCTTCGAAATTTAGGAAAATATTGAAATATGTATTTTTCTATGGAATAATTAAGCAGGGGTGTAAATCATCGGGAAAACAATTTTATCGTCTAGGTGTTTTTAATTGCTCGGAACAGTGTTGGCTGTAAAAGTTTCGCCGCTAAACTTTGCGGTCTCTGCGGTTTCTATCGGAATCCTCGATACTGTACGAGTTCATATAATTGATATTACTTCACTCACAAACCGTAAATTAGGCCGCGTAAATGTGAGAGAGTAAGAGAGAGAAAGATCTGCCAAGAGAATGTGATATAAAGCTCTATAAAATTCACGTTAAAGAAATTCTTTCAAGCGTCGAGTGTCAAGAGAGCTCAAACCGTTTTCTATTACAAAGATATCTCTTTTATGCTCCATCAAAAATATTTCTTTCCATGACTTATTTCCTGACAGTATCATATTTATCATATACGTCTTCTTATAAGTCTCCTCTCTTTAAATACAGATAGTTCACGATTCCACGTTAAAAATAGCTATAAAACAACGCCACGAGGAAGAAACGGGCAAAAATCGTGCGCGTTTAAACGTCGAACTCGGCCAACGAAAACGAGAACGCGGTAAAAGCGTAATCGATTAATCGAGGAAGCGGTATGTTTATCGGCGATATAAAACGCAAGCCATAAATCGATAAAGCGATTACGTATCGACACATGCCAAATAAAAATGATGGCGCGGCGTAAAAATTCGAGAATATGTCGAGGATCTACAAGACGAGAGCATGGGGAGCGAGAGCGCAAAGTATATTAAATTTGAAGGGGAGAGTCTACTTCTCTCGAACGGAGTAGACGGGTCGTGATCGTTGATAAGCCGGCGTTGAAGATGATGGCGCGCGGACAAGAAAGAGAGAGAGAAAGAGAGTTGTCTGCTTGATAAAAATGATTCTGCTTGAGAAAAAAAGAGGTGACGAGCGAGCGGACGGGTCGATGATGAACGAGAGAACGAGCATTATATCAGAGAAAAAAAGGGGGGTGAGGGGAAAGAGAGGTATTTCGTCCTGCCTGAGGTAACTTACCCCTGGACAGTGTCATGCCTAGAGTACGGAATCGCAAGGTAATCGTTGACGTATCTCCGTATTCTTTACTTGGCCCGACTCGCATGCTGTCCTATATCGGTGTAGCGGCACAACACATAAGATATTTGCATACGTTCAGAGATAAAAGATACATTTATATATATTTATATGTGTACTTATATAATACTTATATATGTATAGAGTAAAGTACGGTATAACAGAGCATTACAGAGTTGCTTCGGAGCGCACTAATTAAACCCAGTATATATACGCTTCTACTGCACGCGCGATGCTATGCTACCGCTGTGATAATTATCTCGATTTAAGCTAATCGTATATTGCAGACACTGCTCCGCGCGATCGTAACGCATAATGTTAACGAAAACAATAGTAATAAACTATGTAAGAGTAAATAATGACAACAGCGACAACAACAATCACAACAAGAAAGGTGATATAAGTAATACATAAACGCTGTTTCATCGCATTTCGAGTTTTATATCGATGAGCGTTATCGTTTTATCCGTTTCTGATATTTTCTTCGAATATCCTCAGACATTGAAATCTTTCTCTCCATCATTTATATGTGAAGTTTCAGAAATGCATTTTCTCCATGCATTACGTACGTTTGCGAACGATATATCGTTTCTCTTTTATCGAACTGTCATGTTTGTCAAACGAACATCATGCGCGCCGGATCAATTTTATTTATTATTTAATTTAAATAATTAAATTATGATTAGAAAATTTTTCAACTTCTACTCATTTATATCGAAATTCGTGATTTCCTATCATTTAGTCTATTTAATTATTTAATGTGACACACAAGAACTCTTTCTTTTATTGAATTTTATTTATATATTGATAGATTTTTAAAATTTTTAGTTAGAGATCAGAAATCGAGAATGAGAAATGTAAAAACAAGAATTAGAAGAATGTAAGAACAACAGAATATATAAATTTCATATTATCAATTTGAGATGTGACATATCGAGAGACATGAAATATTCCGAAATTTTATTATTTAAAAGCGCTTACATCTTCTTCCATCCATCTATCCACGTATCATAAACTGATTTCTCGTGCAAATCGTGAATAATAAAAAATTCGCTTTAATTTCCAACTCTGCCATGATACTCGCTCATCTTTCGTATAATTGGCTATACTTCGATAACTCTTTAATGAACTTGCGTTTATTCCAAGAAATTACATTGTCCTAGGACGTATCTTACTCAAGTTTCACGATATTTTCGGCTATAGTGTTTGTGTTTCCGACCGTTCTCGCGCAACGAAATCATTAGAAAGAACGAAAGAAAAATGGGGAGATTGACATATATATATATATATAAGACGTGGCATATATATAATCTAAAAAGATAGGATTTTTTTACCAAGTATATATAGTTTTAAATTGACTCACCTGCAAAGCACCAGCGGCCGGTCGCGCGTGCAAAGATTACGAGGAAAATAATGAGTACGAGCACCAGAACGCCCACGACGATACCGATGATAGATCCAGCGTCTAAATCAACACCTGTAAGTCGTGGAGAAAGAATGTCTCTCTTTATTGTAGTTCTTCGTAATGCAGTTTTAGTATTATATCAATTCCTTGGAACGCGAAACAACCGATATAATCTTCTAGTATGGGAATAAAAGAAAAAGAATGTCGCACATGAGAAAAAAATATTCAAGACCGAAGTGTTTTTAAAGTGTTATGTGATCATTTAAAGCACTATTAATTACGAAGCTGAAACATCGTATCATCAATAAAGTAAAATATATGCAAGTGCTAAAAAAATATTTAATCTGATAACGTAATGATAACGATTGATAAATAAATAAATAATTAAATATATATTTATTTGAGATATTGAACAAAATCTTTTTCTACGACACATACACATACACATGACAAATAAGAATACTTGAATAAATTTTATTTCCAAGGTATTGATATGAAATCTACTAAAGATAATATCACAAAACTTGCACGAATGTTTACTAAATGTTCAATAAATAATTGCATCATTATACAGGATATCTTAACAATTTTAATTTTAATTTAATGACAATCAATTTTATAGTATCTATAATTTCGAGAGACATTAATAAGTTTAGAATCTTTTACGAAGATTTTTTCGCGAATTAAATTTTGGAAAGGTATGCGATTAATAAAAACATTTTTTAAATAAACTTTTTTACCAAATTTTACACAATTTTACAAAGATACATAATGTTGAAAATTAGTAATTTGTGGAAAAGTTGAACTTTCTTAATATTTTCGTTGGGATTATAAAAAAATTATTGAGAATATCCAGTATAAAAATGCATTAATATAAATAATGATTATAGTGCAATACTACATATACACATCCTTAATTACGCAGCATTTCGTACGATCCGATTTAAGTCAACAAAATCTAAACTGTTTATAGCCGTGTACCATCGAAATTGGTAAATTACTCGTCGCTCGATCAATGTCAACGTGTTCTCTCGTGATTAACGTATATTACGCTCTTAGCCAAATAACAGTTATTAATTTCCCGGCGTGATCATCCCCGGAGTTTAAGTCAAACCCACCGCGCACGGAACGCCACGTTTACTACACAAACTACTTACGTATAGTAATATGAAAAAATAACATTACCTAGTGCGTGCATGTGTTCGGAGAGCTTACCATAGAAGTGACCGAACGCTCCTGCGTGAGCATGCGGTGAAGGATCGATATTGTTAAACACGCACACAAGACATAGATGGAACATATTTTCTAGAACGCGTGTGTGTGTGATCGGTGGTGATTACGACGATCGATGTAGTCGCGATTTTATGTGCGAGATCGCATGATTACGATCGTGATAATGGTGAACTAGCCAAGTGTGAACGTCGGTTGATTCAGGCAATCAAAGGAAAAAAGTGTGTGAACAAAGCGTGTGGAGCTCTATTGATTGCTCGCGTGTTACTTATCGTTTGTTTGCTACCATATATAAAAAGGAACTCGCGAATATAATAATTCAATTGAGTAAGGTATATACATATACACGGAACGCGTCTCATATAATTTTGTAAAAAACTTGTGTTTAATTGTTTCATAACATTGCACATTAAAACATTTTTAACGAGTTATGCTTTAACAGTGTAAATGAATAATAGAATTATATCTTCCAATTAAATTTGCAAATTTGCAGATTTTGTTGTAAATAATTTAATTAATTTATTGCTAAATGTAATTTCAAAAATTATTGAAACAAGAGATATATAGCAATTTACTTTAAATTTAAAAAAAAAAATTATTTTCTCTCACACTCACAAATTATTTGTGATTGTCAAATAAATTAAATCGGAACTCCTAGTACATTTAAAAATAAAAAAACGTTACATAACTCTTCTATCTGCTTACATCATTCTAATAATTTTTATAAGATGATTTATATCATAGAAAGAGTTTATGGTAAAAAAATTAATTATCCCCTTATTATTATATTAATATTGTATTAGAGACGCCACACACATTTTGTGCTTATCGTGTGATTTATTCGGGGTGCTTTAATATATTTTCGATATGTACAAAATCCGTGTTTCTAAGAGTGCACGGTGTGTAACGTCTTCTCTATAATATAAGATAACTTGCGTAAGTCAGATTTCTCGAATAACTCACCTGCTGGTTCCGAAGATGTCGACAAAACGATACGATATTCATACGATCCTTCATTGTTGGTCGCTATCAACGCGTACTCCTTCTCCGTGTCGGATTTCTGAACGCTGTCGATCCTCAGAATTACGCTCCAGACTCCTTTCCCCTGTAAATGTTACTTTGTATTACGAACATGGTACATCAATCCGATCCCGTTCAGCCAAGCTCTTAATTTCCTACGCTGTATCGCTCATTAATTAACTCCTTTAATTAAGCTCTTTAAAATGTCGCCGGGCACCTACACGAAGGTCTATTAATAAATTATTCGTGAAGGGTTTTGCTATTAATCTACGAGTTTTTACACACTCTTTGTAATCCCTATATTAAAGAGAGGCAAATTGATAATTATAGGAAATTACTTATAGGGAAATATTATACAATATTTCAATACAATATATTTATTTTTGTACGTTTTAAACTTTATACTCGGATGAATAAATGCTAAGTGTTTCATATTTTTTCAACTAAATTAATTTAATTTTTATCATAATTTTCAATCTTATCTCGCAGTTATTTTCTAGAAAAATAACACCATGTCGAATTTTTTAAATTCTATCGGTTCTTATTAAATTCTTTTTGCTTCGTGTTCGTGCGCTTTTCTAATCGAAGAAAAATCCATTTGACGATCCTCGATATCGCATCGGGCGTTGTTCTCAAGCGCTATTATAGGAAGGAAAGCGGTATGCTGAGCGTTTTCCGTGAGCTTTCGCCTCTCTCAAGCGGCTCGCCGTTAGTAATTGCATTTTCGGAGTAGAAGCTGATTCGTATTCGTCGATGGCGCGTCGCGGCGCTCAGTCGGCTTGCTGTTCACCGATCCGCTGCAAGTTGTGACTTGCGAGAGAGAAAGAGAGAGAGAGAGCTGTGAGCCTATTTGGAAGCCATTCATACACGAGCCGGAGCCGAATAGCGGCGGTGGCGGCGGCTTTTATTGGTTCTGGCACACGCTGGCGTTGTTCCAGAGTGTTATGCTCGCGCGAGCGTGCCGTTCGCTCTGAAAGTTTGCACCCGAATCGTGAGTTCCGACGAAATCATCGGACCCCATTGATACCTCGCTCTCTCTCTCTCTCTCTCTCTCTCTTTCTCTTCCTCTCCTCTTTCGATGGAAGAATGGCCCGCATCATTGAATGCACTCGGCCGGTTTGCTGTACGCGTGTCGCTCGATTAACGCTTCAAACCTCTTCCTCTTCAAATCGTAAGCTCGCAATTTACCTTTTAGGAAGTTCGCTAACTTTGCGATCTTTCATTGCAAATCAGTATCAAACAGTTGGCATACGATGACGATAAAATCTCGAATTTTAAATAAATATTAGAATCAAAAAAACAGTAAGACAAAGAAAGAGAAAGAAAGTAGAAACTTTTTATCATTTGCTTTTTTTATCTTTAAATTTTAGAGATTTCTTCCATTAAGAAGAAAATTAAGAACGAAACTAAAATTCTAAATGGCATCTCACAAATATCCAAGTTTCGCAAAGCTTTTTAGACTTCTAGTTTTTCCCTTAAACCGATTTAATAAATGGATTCAAAAAGTGTGATAAGAACGTGCGATTCAGGGACACTCGAGAAAACGAATATTCGCCTCTGTTCGCCGCCCCGAACTAATTAAAAAGCGCAAGTTGCAAGATCGGCAAATCTATTTAAGCCTTAATTACGGGACGAACAAACCGCTTCTTGTGCTAACGAAACAATAGATGAGGAACAAACGCCTCCGCCGTTCGAGGCCGATCGCGCGGTTCCGATCGATTCGCTGTGTCTGAATTCAATGGAATTTCATTACGGCGTTGTACTCCGTGCGCCCTGTCACACAGGTGCATGGAGAATGCATCCCGAATGAACGGTAAATCGAGGCCCGGAGTCGCGGCGCACTACTATTGAATTTCTGTTTCATTTGCATCCATCAATCTAGTCTCGCACGCTCTCTTTTCTTTTCTTTTCATTGGCCAATTATTTCTTGGCCAATGCGCTTCTTTCCTTTTACATTTTATCCGTCATCGAAATATATTCTCGAATCTAAACAAACCGCCGATATCCTTCAGCTGTATTTAATCGAATCGTCAAATGCACCATTTTCTTCTTGCAACACGGTGATTTGATGACGATCGCTTTAAACGTTTAAACGGAATAGCTAAAAACGTCGAAATAGCGACATCTTTTTTTTTTATAGATGTAAGGACTATTTTTTCGGCAAAAAATGAATTATTTAAAAAGAATATTATTTGTGGACATAATAAATCCAGAGCTTTCGACTTAAAGCCACGAGCAAAGGTAATAACAATTTTATTTTTTCTTTAGTTAAAGTTTATCGATCTAAATTCAATCATGAAGATATTTAATAATAAATAATAATAATAAAAAAAGAACAGTGATAGAACATAATATGTTTTTATTATTGGTCATGAAATTACTCTTTATAATCAACAAACAATAATGACATAAATTATAAATGTTTGAAAAGTTATAGATTGCCGCATTGACATACACATTAAAGAAGAATTAAAAAGAGAGTCAATTTTAAAAAAAGGAAACTTACCATGTCAACGGCAGTTGAAGTCTCTAATCGATTGCTCTGGTCAGGACGGCCTTCTTCGATCTGCTCTTGATTCACTCGCCATATGAATCGCGGCCTAGGATTCGCATAAATGGTAACATTGATGATTCCCTGTCTGCCAATCACGTATCCGAAACGTTCGAATGTTGAATGTGGCTGAGGTGGATCTATATAGAAAAAAATGCAGTTTCTTTCTGAAATTTACTTATGTAAAAATTACAACAAAAAATAATGTTTCAGCAAATTTCCACTGCAATTTTCTATAATTATTAAATATAAAAAAAATTCATTAATATAAAGACTAATTTGTATAAATCATTATTTTGTTATATGTATTCTGTTATTGAATAAATATAGAAATATAGATTTTATTCAGCCATTGAATATTGGCGTTGGAGAAGATTCTAAATTCTAAAATAGGATAAAGAAAAGATGTAACGTAGAAAATAAAACTACAAAGGAAATAAAATTTGAAATTTTTAGAAATATGTTCGATTAATAAGGAAGAGAAACTGTTTTATATATTATAATATCAATAACTTACAGAATACTTCGAGTTGCAAAGTAGTTTCCTTGGGTTTATCAAGAGCGATGTGACTGGCCACGCATCGTACTGTTTTGCCGTTGTCAGACCAGTCCAAAGTGTGTGAAACGTTTTGCATGGCCAAAGAGTTCTCGTCTATATTCGTGTCGTAGACGATGGTTTTATCTTCCTTGCCGATCGGATCATCGTCTAGATATTAAGAACAAGAATTCTTATTTTCCTATCACATTTACTATATAATTTTATTTCATTTCTTTATAATTTCTTAATTAATAAACATGTATTATTAATTCAAAGATGCGTAAACAGAATCTTTAAAAAATTCGACTTGTTTTTATATTGCTTATATTATACTTTCAATTAAATTTACTCTTTGTTTTAACTTGAAATCAATTTTATTACTACAATTGATCTTTTGCATTATTCCAATTAAGTTTTCTTAAAGTAATTTCTTTATTTTAATTTCTATGGATTTTTGTTATAGATTACGTATGTAAAGTCGGGTATAAAAGAACGCGTTCTTTTTTCTGAAAATATTGAATAATAAACTAACCGAGGAACAACGAGATATTCGCTGCTGGTCGTCCAGACGGAGCGCTGCAACTGATTTCCAATTTTTCGCCCTTTCTGTAAATATTTCTCTGAACAGATCCGGTACTCGTGCGAAGATCCGGGTTATTGGGTGGTCCTAAGCAAGCAAAATAAAAATTTCTTTGTATCGCTTCATTGTACATATCGATTGGATTAAATGGAAACAGCACAGACTGAGATATATTTTTATCCCATATTTTATTACATATTTTATCATTTTATTATTCGAATCTGAGAATCAAATAACTTGAATTTAATCTTATTCGCAACGACGTTTTTTCGCGTTAAAAAAAACAATTTCTTTCAAGATATTCATGAATTTCGCAATTTACCTTTATCGGGTTTATCTTAAACAGAGTAATTTCGCTCCGAGCGCCTATTTCAGTCTCCGTAAGCAATTTTCTTAAAGAAGATTAATTACTTTTCGAATATAGCTATAGCGCTGGAAAACAAGCTAGTTCCTTTTATTTGCTTCTTTTTCGAAAAAGATTAATATTTTTCTCTTTTTACCGTAAATGTTTTATAAAAGTAGCCCTATCTTATTTTTATTACTTTGTGCTATATGATAACATTTTTATTACATTTGCTTGCAAGTACCGTAATACTAAATTTAGAAGAAAAGTAATTATATATTCATGTATATTACGATAAATTAAAATAAACGCATTTTCAAAATTAAAATTAAAATCGCTGTAAGAGCACAAAAATATCAAGAAATTTTTCTTGGAATAATCATATGTTTTTAAAGCAGAGGAGTATAGAAAGATGAGAGACATGTATAAATATTTCTGTAAACGTTTACAGCGATGTTTACAATTTCTTTACAGTATATCTTTGCAGTCTCTACGTTAGACAATTCCGCTGAACTAGAATCTCATCGAATCAAAACGATGGACAAGTGACTTACTCGCAACGATGATTTTCAGAGACGCGGTTGCCTCTTGCCGGGCGGTGGTGGTCGTTAGGGAGCATTTGAAGATGCCGTCATGAGTTTCCTTCACTTTGGCGATACGGACGCCGCACTGACCAGTCTTGGTACCATCACCGTAATACTCGATGCCGTCTTCTCCCGGGTCTTCCCCGTTCAGTACTATACTACCCTCGCCAGGTATTTCCACACGGCAAACACGAAGCGATTGTGAGGCTTTGCATAGAATTTGCAAACTCTCGCCGACCCGGACAGCCGTTTCCCTTTTCGGCTCGATGTCTATCATCTGATTCGGTCTTGACGCTGAAAGCAGATTAAATAGTTTTGAGTTTAACAATAACGTTAATTTTATGATCGTATTGATCAACGAATTACATTATATAAATATTAATAATTTCGGCTTCAAATTCTGGTTTAAAATAAATAAAAAAAATAAAATTTCGACTTCTTAATTCTGTTTTAAAATAAAAAAATTAGGAAAATCGCACAAGAATCTGTTTTCTATATTTTACATTATATACATCAAATTATAAATATATAATATAAAAAATGTGTTGCACAAAATATTATTTTTTTCGAGTATTAGATATCAAAAAATATATTTTTTTATTTTTATCGTTTTAGACGTTTTGAAATTAGCCTAAATCGGATAAGACCAGACCAAATAATTAGGCTTGATATTTCGATATAACTATGCAACACGTATATATTTCTACATTTAATATTCCATAGTATATCGCGAAATATATATTTGACTCCAATTTGTTATGTAGAAGTGCAATGATCGTAATTACACTTTTTCGACGTAGTAAAAAGAAAAAGGGAAAAAATATTAGCAGTAGGTTTTAAGGAACACGCATTCGCATCGTGCCACGTCTGATAAAAAATTGAGGAGGCGATTCGCACGGGCGAAGATGCCGCGTCTACGAAGATTTACGAGACAAAAAGGAAAGTTGATTAAATCCCCACCTGCACTACTTCTATCGTCCTCGTGTATCTTTCTTATACCAACGCGCCCTGCATTGGAAAGAAAGGTAGCCGACTTTTTCGTCCCCCTATCCGCTCTTTCGTCACTGTAAACCCCTCCGGCATGCTGGTACATTTAATCCTTATGTTGCGCGCCATTGGTTTCGATATAGCTTTACGTTTTTTTTTTATTTCGTTAATTGATGTCTTATAAAACGAAACGAAGGAGGGTATCGTGTAGCAATTTTTATCCAAGTAAAAATGTTTCCGATTAAAATTGAGTACACGTTCATTGGCAGAGCACGTTTGTTAAATGATGTTCTATTTTAATCATATTCTGTCTTCTTACACAAATCCAAATTGTCATAAAAGATTTTATAAATAATTTTTAGCAAAGTTTAAATGTTTACAAGAACTTTACACAAGAGTTCTAATGTAACGGAAACAATAAAGAAACCGCACATTCCGTATGTCTTCGTTATGCAGCAAACCCTTAAATGTTAGTGCCATTAGTATGCGCATAAGTATTATTAAGATTTCATAACGTGACATAATATTATAATCAAAGCTGTAGCACGATTTTAATATTCATAACGTTTATTTTACATAATATGCAAGATAATATTTCAGATATATAACTCCTTCTTTCTCCCAACATTTTATAAAAATAGAGCAAAATATATTTTATAGCTATAAGGCAAAATTATGTTTATTTTGTTACTAATTCGACATATATTTATCCAATTGTGCAATAAGCAATTTGAAATTAAATCATATTTTTTTCCTTTTTTTCTTTTCATATACTTGAAAATATTTCAATTATTCTTATCCTTCGCTTTTCAAAGTTGATTATAGAGATAAGATTTATATAAGATTTATATGACAATCTAAAAAAAGGGAGAGAAAAATCTCTAAAATATATTTCTCTCTGTATAAGACAGACACATATGACAATTACTATTCAAATAGCAATCATCATCGCAAGCCTGATGATGCATCTCATCGAGATAATGTACATTTTAGTTTATGTATATGTAAGTATATCTCGTAATAGAGAGCTTGGGTTTGGTAAAAACTCGAATCACCCCGACAAAAAGCCCTTAAAGAGCTCTCTCATCATAAGGGTTAAATATAGACGTTTGCTCTTAAATCCTGATAGGGAGGCGTCGCGATGCGACGCGCCGGTCGCATCGATCTCCGCACGAGTTTCGAACGTGGCGTGTCATCGACGGAACGACGTGGCGACCGATCTCATGCACGATGCTATTATGATAATGCACTCCAAGAAATATGATAAACTGGGCGTGGCGCGGCCAACGACTATCATATTTCATCCCGTCGACCGGCTGACTGGTCGGTCGCCAGGATAACTCTGAGAGGCAAGCAAGTTCAAATTAATCGATTCTGACATATTTGTGTCATTGTCGGATAAACAGCAAAAGTTCAAAATGAAGTATATAAACCAAGCTGAAGTTATCAAATGTGCTTGTTTGAAAACATATGTATATATGTATAAAAATGTAGTATGGCAAAACATATACTACTATAACTTGAGATAAAAATAATTTGCATCTTTTACGATAAAAGTTGCTTATTAATACTAAATTTAGTTGCATATCTTAAAATTCATCCACATTATTCTGGATTTTTGCTTTTCATAAAAAAACCTCGTAATCCTACCTAATCCTTTATATTATTGCTCAAGTATAAAAATGTTGAATCGATGTCTTCGAATTTCTCGCGTGATTATATTATTATCGCTGCGTGATACGATCGTAGATTTTCTATATTTTATTTTCTCTTTTTTCGCTCGTATACGTAGCGGCATATTTTTCCGCTTAGATACACTCAACTGCGTTTTTTATATACGCGAACCGATATTTTGATTCGCGGCGTGGGATGGAACGGGCCCGTCAGAATCGTCGCACAGTTTTATGGCACGATATGAACTTTTAAATGCACTGAAAGCACTTCCGAAAAAAACGATGTTCTCTGGTACTGCCAATGTTACTACTTTTTTTTTTTTTTTGCAAGTACTCTTTTGAAAAGAAAATAAAATAATCTATATGTGTGTATTATCCGCGATTTACTTACTTATTAACGATATAATTTAGATTTTATCACGTATTTGTTATATATAATTTTATTTATGCTAATTTAATTTAATCAATTTTATTAATTTTTCAAAAATTTAATATTTACCGTTGGTACTAAAAAATTTAAATCTCATATATGCCACATTTAAAAAATAATTATCTTTATTTAATGCTTGAAAAGGATGCAATTCTTTTTTAATTATTTAGGCTAATGTGTTCATTTCATTGATTGTGTTCTCTTTGTTTTCTCCTGATAAAATATTAATATTAAAACCACGCAAAATATCCCATATACTTTCTAAAATGGTCGCCGATTTGGCGCGTCATATTGGCCCGCCAAGCCATAGCGAGACCATAAATCCTATTTGATTTTCCGCTCATCAATTTGTTACACTGCCGACGTCACGATCTAATTTGCCCGTAGAATCCGACCAATCGCCACCGCCTGTTCCTGCATCGAGGAACACGCATCCCGAAAGCCGCAGCAACAGATGCGATGATTTACGGATGCCGCGTTACGCATCGCTGTGATTATGAAATTGATACGCATGACAGCGCCGTTTTACCTCTTACCTTCTTCCCATGATTTAATTATAATTCACATATAAATACACATATAAATATATAATTATAATAATTATAATTATAATCCGCGTTTACTGCATTTTTACTCTTGACTCCAAATACATTTACACTTATTAAATTTCTGCGATATTTATTTGGAGAAGATAACTACCAGTTTTTTTTTGCCCATGCATAAGCAAATTTTTTTCTCATTCTGCATTTGTGTCATATCGCGAAACGTTGTAACAGAACAAGTATCGGATACGAATGCATCCGTTCGCGCACTCTGCATCCTGATATTTTATGCTCGCTCGCTGTTATTGACTCTCCTCGTTTTGCGACCTCCTCTTCGTAGTGATAACGCGGTGAAGATAATCTTGGTTACCTGGCATGCAACATGCCGGTGCAATTTCGCAGCGATTTCCAATTTTCTCAACTCACTTGCATTCCCCATCCTGCCCAACCCCCGCGCCCTTTTCCGTTTACGAAAACGCGATGAAGATGCGGAGATAGGACGAAAGGAGAGAAGCAAGAAAAAAGGGAATTATCGGAGCAAAAAAAAAAAAAAAGGCGCGTTAAGGCGGATATACACTGTGCCTTTCAACAAACGAATTTTCAGAGAAGTGTTTATTATTCCTTTGTTTTACTTCAAATGTTCGAATAAATTCGATGCACATGTAAACCTTCAGGAATAAAATTTGTTTCAAATGTACTGATATTTTGAAATCGATATTCGTTATATTATACTTTCGACTCTAATTACGTTAGACATTTAAAGTAATTATCCGTATATTTTTCAAACTCTAGTAGGACTTATACTCTTCTCGGCAAGACTTGAATAGTGTATATGCAACCTTTAGAGGGATGGGCAGCCACAGTCAGCTTGCGGTGTCGGTTTCACGATGCAACGAGAGGAAGTAATCCCGGCCGGCACTTCTCGTATTAGACACCGTTACATCGCTAATTTCGCTCGACGGGCACCGCGAAAATATACTCGGCTACCGAGATACACTCGTAGCCGCTCGTGCGAATCGGAGAAAGCACCAGAACTCGATTCTCGTCGCAATCAAATCGAAATGCTGGAGGTTAAAATTCGTGCCGTGGGATTATATCTGAAGTCGCGGACTGCAATTGAGACCGCAATGCATAGTAATTGGGTGAAGGGCGGTAACACGAATAACGAATCTCTAATCAGTTAATGAGCCAATAAAATAACGCAAACGCATTAAGAAAATACTTGAATATTTTTTTAACATTCATTTTAACGATATTTCTAAATCAAAAAGGGAAACGAACGTCATATTAATTTATGCGAAAATTCTTTCGCATGCGTTTTTTTTTATAGATGCGGCAGTTAAATGGTTAACTAATCAATTGACTTTCAAAAGAAGCGGAATATTTGTATACCAGAATATTTGTAGCATAGATACGTCAATTTTATGATGCTTCACATCGTTTGTCGATGGGCATTTTTCGGAAGTCACTGTTCGACCGAGTTAACTTGATATCCGTTGCGGCCGCCACGATCAGACAAAAGTATTGCATTGCTCGCAAACTTGTTTTCGTTTATTGGATGGATTCATCAAATTAATAATGATTGGATAAAACTTCAGTTTAAGTGATATATAATAATACCGCGTATAACAATAAGATATAAATCACTTTTAATTTAAACGT